AATCTATCAAACTATTATTTAATAAAATGCTTTTTTTCTGCTGAAGAAATTCTGACCTCACTGTTGTCTCACTAAATTATATCTAAGAAAAGGTGTGTTGCAGAATGGTGCAATACGTCATGCTTCATTACCACTAGATTAACAGGCACATGTGCACATAACACAAATGCAGAGAGTTACACACAAACTACACACATACTTGAACCCATCCATGTGCAAAGGCCTTTAAATAGCAGACATACAAATGCTATTAAGCAAAGAATATAGGAGATAACCGTATACTTATAAAAATGACAGTCTGGTCTGATCATCTTAGTATTTCATAAACTACAAAAATGTGGGAAACTTCTTTTTTATGGTCTAGCCTTTAAGAGCTTCTTTTTTCACTCAGCTGCGCACAGCTGTAAACATGGCAAGGTAAATATGGAATGATGTTGGCAGTGTACCCAGAAGAAACTGAAATGTGAAGAGTAACATTTGCTTTATTTTCCTGGAAATCGTTAGTTAGCGCTTCCTTCCTGACGACCTCTTGAACATCATGAAAAATGTGTCATTTATAATTGCAAAGCCAAAATATTGTATAGTTGAGGGTCCATCATTAGATGCTACTGGCTTAAGGATGAGGGAGTGTGACGGGCTTATGAAAACGTGTGATCGCATATCATTGCTTGCTTAAGCATCTACCTTTGTATTATATATGTATGCAAGCTAAAAACCTAATATTATAAAAGCTCTCAATAAAAGATTCATGTTGCATTGCTAAGTGTCGTCTCTTCCACTCATGACGAGGCATCATATAAAAGAACATGATGCAAATCTCTGTAGAAGTCGACATATTCAAGGCTAAAGCCGGTGTTAAAGCAGTAAATAATTCACCCTCCCTCTTTCTCACCCACCTTCCGCCTGTCTTTGCTGCTTAAACATTAGTCAAGGTGAAGTGTTTTCACTGTTATGTTGTTTTATATCAACTTGACAGAGAATAGTTCTCCGTTAAGCGGCATTTCCATCGTGTGCTTGTTTGCCCATTAGCATTCAAAGAGGGTGAAAATGACTTGACCTTCTCTTGGAAGCAGGGAGCCGTGAACGTGAAGTTTTAATTGAGTTCTTGTGTCTTTCCCTTTCTTTTCTCCTTTTCTCATCAGTGCAATATTTGAAAGATCTCATTCCCTAGACTAGTGATCTCTTTATTATGGCACTATGATAGATGAACTTGAAGAAGTTCAAACTATACAAAGGTATTGTCTCATTTCGTTTCTGACATTTCAGATTTAAAAGAATGATATTTAAACTGGTGTCACCACTCTTTAATGTTTGTTTTGTTTGTTTTTCGTCTCGCTCCTTCACCAGTTGTCTGAGCCCACATAGTACATCCTCTATAAAGTGCTATATAGTTACAGAAAATGTGTGACCTGTTACCTTGCACAAGTGTATGTAACTGGTGGCGTTCACACTCTTTAATCTTTGAAGGACTTCCACAAAAGGTTTTTTTGAGTTGAGTTGTAGTTTCTGGGTTTGCCTATCAAATCTGCATCTAACTCTTTGGGTACTTGGGGCGATCGTGGCTCAAGAGTTGGCAGTTGGTCTTGTAATCAGAAGGTTGCCGGTTTGACCCCTGACTCGGACAGTCTCGGTCGTTGTGTCCTTGGGCAAGACACTTCACCCGTTGCCTGCTGGTGGTGGTCAGAGGGCCCGGTGGCCTCTGTCAGTGCGCCCCAGGGTGGTTGTGGGTACAATGTAGCTTGCCATCACCAGTGTGTGAATGGGTGGATGACTGAACGTGTAAAGCACTTTGGAGTCCTTAGGGACTAAGTAAGCACTATACAAATACAGGTCATTTTACTTAATAGCACATTCTTTTTTGTTGATTAGCTGTGGCTGGAAAACTGTGCAGGTGCATTAAAGGTGCTTTAAATATTCCATAGCTTTTCTTTTAGAGTCATTTCTGGGTCTGTTTGCAAGTGTGCTTTCCTTGTGTGAAGATTAGATTTCAGTGAAACTTAGACTTCCAGATGGCCTTGCATTATCTTAAATTACTTAAATATTTGATCTAGAATTCATAACTGAATCCATGACAACAAGCTGCCTGGTCCCTGAGATATTGAATCAAGCCCAAATCATGTTCCACAGTGGCAATGAGCACGGTCTCCTTAAAAGCTGAATTTGGTATTTGATTTTTGAATTTAGTCTGCACTAAATTGTGCGTCTGCTCTTACTGTGACCAGAAAACGTTTGACCAGGGTGAGTCATTCTAGTGGATCTGGTCTTTGCCTATATGTCTTCATTCGCAAAACGTATTTCCTTTTCTATTTTGAACAGCCAAGGCTTTTTGCTGAGACACCTGCCATGTGGATCATCTTTGTACTATGTCTATATAACTGTTTAAACATAAACCTTGACAGCAGCGGTTACAAGGGGTTGTTGCACATCCTCTTGTTAAATTTATGTGTTTGGCCAGATCTTTTCTTGAATAAAATACCTCTTTTTCTCTGCAGGTCAACACATAATAATAATAATAAAGTCAATAGTAAAGAGAACACCAAACCGTAAATGTTTTAAAAGCACTAGTTTGATCTGTCATACTCATTTTCCAAACACAGATATTGAGTGTGAAACTACTATAGATTTTGTGGCTTTGAATGTATGTAGATGTGTTGATTTATCATGTAACTGAGCTGCTTTGTAACAACCAGTAAATACATATAGTGAAGAAACACAGAATCCAATATTCAAATGGTTTCATTGTAACAGCTCTTCACCTGCATCTTAAGGACAAGGGTCACTCCTGCAAGGATGCCAATGTTGACATTTTGGACAGAGAAGAAAGATGGTTTGAAAGAGGAGTGAAAGAAGACATCTATATCCACTGTGAACGACCAACTGTCTGCCATCTATAATCCAGTTTTGAGATCCCCACTTACATCCTGGGCCTTCTGACCTCATTAAGGCTACGTCCACACTAATGCATTTTTGTTTAAAAGTGCATCGTTTTCTCTCCGTTTTAGCCTCCCGTCCACACTGAGACGGCGTTTTCACTCATGGAAAACTCAGCGTTTTCAAAACGCTCTCGAAAACGCATACATTTGAAAACGGTGCTTTCGCGTCGCAGTGTGGACAGCAAAAACACTTTCTAAAACGATGACGCATATTAGTCATATGATGCAGTCATGTGACCAATTAAACTAAGATAGCGGAGGGCATTATACAGCAGTTGTTTTGTTTGCTCTCAATTTTGACAGCCCTATTAAAGATTAATATCAGTCTGTACATGCTTCAGATAGCTTTTCTTCAAATTCTTTAACTCTCACTCGCTTTTGCAACTTTGTACTTTTGTGTTACTCGCAGCAACAACTCCACCTCATTGTTAGTCCATTTAAAAAACTCGGTGCTTTTCCTCGACATTTTGCCGCGACTTTTGAAAGAGCTGGAAAGTAAATAAGCGGCAGACAGAAATTCGTTTCACGCATGCGCAGTAGTGGAACGTAAGCATTTTCGGACGTTTCAATGTGGACGAGCAACTCTGTGAAAACAACTGAAAACTCTAGTGTGGACGCGAAGCGTTTTCAGAAGAAAACGCCGTTTTCAAATCTAACCAGGCTAGTGTGGACGTAGCCTAAATCACATGATAGGATGGGGCTAGGTTTTACAGTGGATTCACCCAAAACCTTGGCTGATTGTGACCTTTTTCACACCTTGGCTTGTGTGATTAGACAGAGGATCAATAGGGGGTCCATGACCCTCTTGGGGACACTCCCATAGGGCTCTATGGGAGTTGCTCTTAGAACTGAAGAGTCCAGACGCTTTTCTTTCAAAGCTCTTTAGACTACTATGGCCTGGATGACTGAGAACCTTCACAGACAAAAATAGAAGTAGAAAGTAGAAATCGATGTTTGTCTCATACGTTGTCACTGACAGACAGCTACACACATGCTAAACCGATTGTGACTCTAACACTATTTGTCAGCATTGGTAACTTTTTTCTGTTAGTGTATAGCTGAAGGCCTGAAATGATATGGAGTATGTGTTATTAATAGAAGTTTATTATACTGAATTTACATAAATTATACTTCATAATTAATCTGCCTGCACTGCAGTGACTCACTGCAATGTAATTGTTGTGCAGTTTGGTCTGTGGCTAATAATGAGTCACCTAAAATCAGTTTCTTTTTCATTATGTTCTTGTGTCTGTCTTTGTGTTGTTGTTGTTTTTGCATGTTGTTTCTCTGCTTTTCTAAATCTGATTTGATCTTGAGTGCCAAAATGCGGGACATTTGCTAGATTGTGTCAATGTTTCGTGATGTGCTGTTTTTTTTTTTTTTAGTGTGAACTGAGCATTAAAGTGATTATTTCAGGCAAGTATAATATAAATTTTAGCTCATGCTGCTCACCTCGGTTTCATTTTCTATTTTATTAATGCAGACAAATGAGTCACTGTCTCGTACAAAGTGTTTCTGTATCACAGGCAGTTCCTTGTTGAAACCCAAACAAATCCAGCCCAACGCCCACCTGAACTTCCAGTTCAATCAAAATTCAATTCATTATTTCTGTGCATCATATTGGCAAAGCTGCTAATAATATACTGAACAATATTGTCAAATTATCAAAGCAGCGTTGGTGTGATTGTTGGCTGTGAAGTTCAGCCACCAACTGTCTGACTAAAGTGGCTCTTTTTTCCCTTTCCCGTTTTTTGGACTCAAGTCAAGTGCTTTAAATTGAAGTGAGCCTTCAGGGCATAGATTGAGATGTAGCCAGAATTTTAATGCTCCTTTTTCAATTGTTTAGTTTAGGGAGAAGTGCCAGGTTCCCCAGTATCTGTTTCTCTCTCTCTCCCTCTGCCTCTACACAGCTCTTATTACCAGCTTTCTTTTTCTTTCATCTGTCATCCTGTCTCATCTTCCCTCCTCAATCAGCTCTCTTTCTTTCCCCGTGTATTTGGCAAACGCATAAGCATATACGGAGAAAAGCACACCCTCCAACCAGTTGTTGTCATATGTGTGTTGCAGGAACGTAAGCTCAGCAGGTGAGGAGGCGAGACGAAGGATGAGGGAGTGTGATGGGCTGACAGATGCTCTGCTCTACGTTATTCAGACCTCTCTGGGCAGCAATGAGATCGACAGCAAGGTGCGACTCTGAAAATCTTAGCTTGTGTTTGTAACTTAAATTGTTCATTTTCAGGCTAAATTACAAAGTGTCTCATATCCTCCTTTTATCACAGACAGGCACAAACTGCAGAAATCTTTTTAGCACACAGGAGGAAACAAAACAAATGACTGCACCTCTTTTCACTGCCAGTAGCCACAAGGAAGAAAAGTTTTAATTTTCAACAAGTGTTCAGCTCATCAATATGAACTCTTTAGGGCAAATTAAAACGCCCAGATTCAAAGTATTGCAACATTTCTACCTGCCAGTTAAGCTCTGCCAGTAGTCAGAGTTGAGTAGGTTTAGGTTCACTTTGCATTTTTCTGTATGAGGCCATGTTCATGTTGGCGTGCAGTGTACATATGTGTGTTCATGTGACAGTACGTGTGGGCCAGTCAATACTACTGTACATAAACAGTGTTGTGGATGGCTGACTTCTCAAGGTCTCCCTGACTCCCAGCCTTTCTAAATAGCTATCCTTAATCACTGTTTAACTGCCCGCCCTTCTCCACTGTTTAACTGCAGTCACCAGAGGAGGACTGCTGCCACCACAGTAACAAAGACTGATTGGCAGAGAAACCACCAAGCGGTCGCTGTTGCAGTAGCGGTACACATTAGCCATGTGCTCATTTGGTACACTGTCTGCCTTTCCCTTTCTCACCTGCTCTGTGCAGACTATGTTTTCCTCCCTATCTGCTTGTTGAGTTGGAACAGTCTTGGCCTGCCATTGAAATACTAAAAAATATATATATTTATTTTGACTACTTGGGTAAAATTGATCCCATAAGACACAACAGCAGGCACTGTTCAGAGATGTAAGCTGTTCAAGTAACATAACAGGGTCATATTCGTAAATTTTAAAGTGGCTGGCAGCAAAAGTTGTAAATGTCCTTTGTATTTGTGCATTTTTCACACATTTCAGATCTTAAAATAAAGTTGAGTGCATGAGTGCAAACATTTACTTAGGGAAACTATAACCCCTTTAAAACAGTATTATCCATTAAACACAATTGAATGTGCCTATTTTATCTGCAGCAGCTACAACCAAACATGTCTGATACCTACAGTGGGTGAACTTGCTGTAGAGGAATTTTGGTTCACTTTTCTTTGCAGAATTGTTTAAATTACACATCACACAGAGCTTCTTTCAAGCATGGACTGTAGAGTTAAATTCCTGCTAAGGCATTTAAATAAGATTCAACTTTAACCAGGCCATTTAAAAACCTCTGCTTTGGATTATTGTCTTGCTACATTGACCAAATTTCTCTCGAGCTTCAGATAATAGGCCGGTGACCTTACACGTTCATTTACATATTCATTCTCCAAAGAGTAGAATTTGCAGTTACATAATCAAGTTACTACTTCAGAGTATGTATTTTTAAACGTATAAATAATTTAATCACGATGCACTCTGTTTGCTCACGATGTCCTTGTGCTTTAATAAACCTTTTTTGAACATCTGCAAATATTTGGTGGCAAACACAGATAATACAGTAAAGGGGGCGTGAGAATAAGCAGATATAGATATGGTTGTATGGGACTGTTGAAGTCAAAACTGTAAAATTACATTTTATAAACCATTAATAATGAGGAATTTCATCAAATATAAAAGATAATAATATGCAATTATGATCGATGCTGCACAGTAGGACCATGCATGTAACTGAAGAACCCACATATACAAAAAACATATTGTTGATTAAGGTATTGCTTCGAGGTGACTCTGTTATTGTGTTTGTATTGATGGGTGATCAGTGTCTCTCATTTACTAGAATAATATGAATGAAAGTGGATGAAATGAAAATAATTAATAAAGGTGCACAGTGTCTTTCCTAACCTGTCCCTGTTGCAACACTGTTGCCGGGGTAAATAACTGTGCCGTTCAGACAACACTGTAAGAGTAAGTCTTTTTCTTTAAGACCGGAACGATGTCAGCTATCTTAGGCAGCTTGATAACATCTCATAACGTAAGTCTTTGGACACTATGAATGGGTTCTCTTATTGAGCAATTGTCCAACCAATGGCCTGCACAGAATCTACAGTTACTATGACTAAATAAAACGACGCTATTGTCTCTTCACTTTTAAAACAATTTACCATTTACATATAGAAAAAAAAAACTGTTGTTATCACCAATCATTTAAACATGACTAATAATGCTGAATCCCCAAATGTCTTTTGACTTCCATTAAAATGTTAATATTTCAACTTTCTGTTACTAAAGATAGAAAATCAGAGCACAATGTAATATAGCTGCTGTATTACAATAGCAGTGCTTGTTATTGTTTTTAACTACAAACTCTGTGGTTCGGTAGATATGCCTTTACTGATCTTAGTTATGGATTCACAGTGATGTGATGGTGTAATAAATATACCATCACATAATCCATGTCACCACAGCACTGCTGAAATGCAGGCGCGTGTTCTTATAACTTAGCTTTGAATTACTACAACGTACAGCACAATAGTTAAAGAAAGCTGATTTGGGCAAGGATAGAGCCAACACATTACCTTTAGTTCATCAAACATTAACACTGAATGCTAACTTTCTGGAGGGTTTGACCTCCTGTGAATGATTAAAAATAGATTTTTAATGTTTTATATTGTGCCTGTATAAGAGGTTTTCTGTTTTTTTGCCCTCTGTGCAACACTTTGTTAAAGCTATAGGTGTTGATTCTATTTGAACTGTTTCAACATGGCCTTCTGCTCGTGACGTGTTCAATAACCGTGGACAGAGAAACATTAGATCTGAGGAGTGGCCACTATAGATATATCATGTGACATAGCTTAAGCACTAAAGAAAATCTCTAGATTACTGCCATTCTGCTCTACACAAGGCACAGAAGCAATTAAGTTTTAAGGACATTTAATCAGGTTTCCCACTATATAATAGCACACTGCCAGGAGTCAATTAACTTAGCAGACACACTAATTGAAATTGATGGTGCAAGACTGAATAGACTAGACCCATCATTCTACATACACAGCCAATATAATGCTAATATATAATATTGAGATTTAACAGCCTACATTTAGTGTGTCTCATTGCATAGGGAAGCTTACTGGATGGCTGTTATGTGTGGACTTCCAGCTTCTAAGACTCTAGGCTGGAAAGTGCATAAAGGTCATAAATACAAGAACAATGAATTCTAGCTTTGGTGTTACAAAAGTTTCCTGTCACAGTTTGGAGTGCATAACTTCTGTGTTCCTGAGAGAACCGTAAATCCCACCCAGGTGTAGAGGTGCTGATCTGTAACTGGCCCTGACCTCTGACCTCCCTGCTTTGACAAGACATATAACAGAATCCGTTTACCTGTCAACTTAATTTCCCTGCACAGTGCACCTAGAAACAAAAGGGTACGGAAGAAATGTGAAATAATAGATCGAAATCCAAAATGTCACAGCAAATTGTAAATAAAGTGTAACTTCTCCTACATCGCTCCATAATAACGTGAGAATAGAATTTCAAATATGACTGCAGCTCACTGGAGTGAGACATTGTTTTGTTTGCAGCATCTCTTGAGGGTGTTCAATTACACTCCTTAGTTGTTTTTGTCTAAACCAACAGTCAGACTGAGTGAAGATTGATGATTTGTCTTTGTTAATTTCCACTCTGTTGACTTGATGTCTCCCCTTTGTCAGCGACGCACACGTATGCAAGTGCACACAATCAGTTAAAGAAACAAAACAGAACACACACACTTAAGAAGAGACAATATACACTATTAGAGAATCGGCTTTCCTTCAGACTCAAGAGTACACGCATGTTCTCTGGCTACTGGGTGAGCCTCGAAACTTCATGTTTAATGGGGTGTGATATAATATATTGGGTTTGTCATTTTTCCTCATTTACCTGAGTTTCTGCTAATCTCATTTCAAAGTCAGAGCTAACAATATGCAGAAGAATATTACTTGTGAGATTATTGTTGTTCTTTCCTTTCCCTCTCCCTCTCACTTGCCGCCCCCCTCCCTGTCTTTCACCCTCTCCATCTGTCTGGCTCCTGAGTGCGGGTGGAAGGCTGATAGTGTAAAAGTGAGAGAGTGGGTGGTTTTTATTACCGTTCTTTGAATTTGAGTTTGCTCGGTGTTTTCAAGCGAGATGTTTCATTAAATGGCATCAAACACAAATCTTCAATCTCAACCTTTTTTTTTTTTTCATTTAAACCTCTCCCTTCATTGATCTCATCTTATTTCTCCCCACCTTCTCTTCCGCCTTCATCTCTCCCATCTCGCTCTGTTCGCAGACTGTGGAGAACTGTGTTTGCATCCTGAGGAACCTGTCATACCGACTGGCTGCTGAGACATCTCATGGTCAGCAAGGGGGGTTGGAAGAGCTGGATGGCCTGCTTTGTGATGCCAATGGTCGCGATGGAGAGAGCTCCGGTTGCTGGGGCAAGAAGAAGAAGAAAAAGAAGGGAGCTGACCAGGTAAAGACACAGAAAATAGGAGCTAATCAGATGATGTGAGCAAGTTAAAAAAGTTTTTTTTTTAAATAAATTGAATGTCTGAAACCTGCCACACATCCCTTTCAGCAGGGATCTGCAGTTAAATGCAGATCAGTTTCTCTTCAAGGTTATCTGAAAAGCATTGGTTTCTTTTCAAATTAACTGGCTTGTGTGAGGTATTTCTGCTCTTTAACTTTATATATAATTGAGTCTTTGTGACCTCAACTTTCCTTTAAAGGCTTCAACACTCAGCTTCTCTTAATTTCCTAAATACCTAAACACAGACAGGCCTAAAGTATGCAAACACAGACCTTACTTACATCTTTCAGAGCTAACCGGATGGACCAAAGTGAATTTGAGGCCCAAACCAAACTAGATATCAAGAATATGTCTCTATTTTATTTGTTGCTGACCAGTGATGATCCATTCAATGCTCTGGCAAAGCTGTGTTTAAATGAAATGAAAATATCAGTAAACTAAATTTGAAAAGAATTTGAGGCCAAATTTCAACCATCAAAGCAAAGCAGTCAGTACTGCCAGGAGGGAATACACACTGATGAATAGAGGGATAGATAATGGGAAGTAGCAAAAGGTCAAACCCCAGAGGTATACACTATAAAACCCTATGAAAATGAAGCAGGGATAGTAGTTAGTGGGAGGCTGACAGACTGAGAAAGTCTAGAGTTGAAGCCAAGAGAGAGAGATAGAGAAAACAAGTTAAGATCGGAAGATCAGGGAGCCTGAACTTGACCGAAACAATCCTAATGAACTACTGGAAAATGTTTTCCTGGAATTGTTGATATTTTGTGTAATTGGCATTTTTTTTAGGTATTTAGCAGTCTGACTATATGACTTCATTTTTAATGTATTTTAAATAACTGATATATAAAAGGCACACCTGATTTAATTGTGCTAAGGGTTTCTCCTATTGTATTACTGCTCTGCTTTCAGGGTTTCTGATGTATTTGAATTGATATTGTAGTGGTGCAGGTCTGACCACTTGTACTGCAGGATTAGCACGGACCTCAAACTTTCTCAAAAAAGCAAATATGTTCAAACCTGTAGACAAGGCAGCGGGCCAGCACGCTTGTTATTCCTTGATGTTCACAGGGTTTTTGCACTGTGAATTTTTCCCCCAGGGGGAAGGCTGTGATCGAGGAGTTCTTCTTCAACATCCAAACACATTTCAGGGAGAAAAGTTGGCACAGATGTTTTTGGACACACTAACACATTCTTTTTTTCTTCATTCATCTTATTCACCGAACCCTCTATTCCCCCACAAATCACTCCTCTTCTCCAAAGTAAAACTTAAGTTGAAGATAAAACATTTTGACACAGTGGAGGAGATCCAGCTTGCATCAGAGATGCAAATAAGCAAATACTCAAAACAGGAAGTCCAAGATGAAAAGGTTAATAACACCATACTGAAGTAAATGTATTTTAAAATGCTATTTTAGGGCGTTTAGCAACATATATGTGTGTTAAATATGTAGAATGGCTATTGTGAATCATCTGATGCTCCTTTGTGTAGTGCTTTAATCTGCGCTTTGAGTTTTATGATTTCTTATCGAATCTGTACATAGATAAAAACAGATAGTGACACTCAGTTGCACACAAACACACACATGCCACAGTGCTTCTTTCAAGATATACACTAGCTTGGTTTACCTTGAGACAAGAAGAGGAGACGATGCAGTAGAGCGAAACCGAGGAGGTCGATAGGGAGAGGAAAAACTGAGAACTGGAAAGAGCGGGACGGAAGCAGAATAAGAAATTAGGAAAAAGGGTCAAGCATGCAAGAAAGAGACAGAGAAATCAGGAGAGAGAGGCAGAGAGAGAGAAGAAGAATTAGAAGGAGGAAAAATCAGGGAAAAATATAAATGACATGCAAGAGAGAATTAAGAGGAAGAGAAAACGAGAGAGAAAGATGCTGGTGTATGCCTACATGAAAAAGGTGTGGGTATGTCAGCCAACAAAGAAGTTCAGACATCAAGAAAGGCTCCTCTGCAATGAAAAAAGACAAAGATGAAGTGAGAGCTAGCTGTAAAGCTTTATGTTTATTGCTCAAAGCAAATGTAGCAGTGAGACATTCTCTCATAGTGTCTTCTCCTTCTGCAGCTCTCACTGTCGTTTCAGATCATGCATCTCCCTTCTATCTAAGCCCTTCAACACCTTTATCGCTATTCATCCATCCATCACGATTCTTAAGCTGACAAGGAGTGATTTACTCAGTGTCTCGGTAATTTTTCTAATAGGTCAGGGTATACCAGGGGCAGTGCATTTCGCTTTTCTCGTGTGAATTCAGTCACTCCGACATAAAAAATGTGTTTAGATACAAAAGTTCATTCAGATTTCTTATGCAGGTTTTTATAGAATCACTGTAAGCTTTACATGGAAGAACAGAAAAAGGAACATCCTACGATTTCACAGTCGCTTATTTCTCCTAGAATTGGTGAAAAATGTCATTAAAATGTTCAACCACACTGAAGTGTTGCTATTTTTTGGTTTTAAATAAAGTAAAAAGTTTCCTAAAGGGTAAAACAAAATGTGATTGTGAGAATGGAGTTAACGGTTTCCTTAAAGTATTTCTTCATGAATATAAATGAACATAAAAAAAGCTATTTCACTCTGTCTCATCTCTCACAGTGGGATGGCGTGGGCCCCTTTCCCGACACGGCGGAGCCCCCCAAAGGAGTTCAGATGCTGTGGCACCCCACCATCGTCAAGCCCTACCTCACCCTGCTGTCTGAATGCTCCAATCCTGACACTCTAGAGGGTGCAGCTGGGGCTCTGCAGAACCTGGCTGCAGGCAGCTGGAAGGTAATGCTAGATTTGACATGCTTTTCAAAATTGTTTGCCTTGTTATATTATATTTGTCAAATATAAATTGTCGAATTATACAACCACAGATGAGTATACAACTGCAAGTGCAGATGTGTTTAGCTTGTCCTAACACACAGTGGCTGTGCAGTGAATGCAGAGACACACTTTACTAATTGTACACAGGTCTTGTGCTCTGAAAAAACATAGATAAATGTGCACATTCACATTATATGTTGGTCAAAATACTTAAGTATGCATGTATAAGCTGAACGTGTGCAAGTAAACTGTGTGAAAATGCATGCCTGGTGCCAAGAGCTTCATTGTACACAGTCAAATGCAGCAAAACCTATGAAAAGTCTTCTGCCTCCATAACCACATAGGTTAAAAAAAAAGGTAATTTTCTTTTGAATTAATAATCTTTTTGCTCACTGCAGCATCCTGCTGACTTTAAAATATTTTGAGTTCGGTCTCGTGTTTTTATGTCTTCTATGTAATGCAGTATTGCACGTTGCTCAGTAGGAATGTAATTACTTTAATAATGTAAATGCTCCAAACCTGTACACACAGGGAGTAGAGCCAGGGTTCAACAACAGGCAACCAACGGAGGCAGCTAAATGGTAATAATGTATGAGTCATGTCATATTGGAGAGCACTGGTGGGGGCAGCTGTAGCCTTGAGGGAGGTTTATATAAGGGTAAAAGGCAGAAAGTGTGTGGGTATAATCTTAGCTTGACCTTAATAAAATAAAATAAAAATAAAAATAAAAACTGCGCCAGACATTGTTGGTCATAAATAGACTATGTGAGAAACTTAATGGAAGTATTTATTTGATCCAAAAAATGCAGTTTATGAAAATATGAACTCAAGAGGGAGTGACAGACAGGGGAGACACTGTGAGAGTATGCTTCAGTGGACCTGTAGATGTGTATGGGATGTGTTTGTAACTCATTTTGAATTGGTATTTCCATCGACAGTAGAGTAGACAGACAGTCGGAGCATGACAGGTATAGAAGAGGGGGTCTCTAGAATAATCAAGGGTGGAGGAGGAGAAGGAAATGATGGGGGTGGGTTGTCTTAAGGGAATCACACGTTTGAAACTCAGCACAAAAAGTAAGGAAACTTGAATTTGGTAGATTTTTCTTTGTTGTAACAATGCTTCTTGGCAATAAATCTTATACTATTGGAAAGCCAGTGTATTTCCCCTTATATGGTGCCACTTTGTAAGGAAAATCCGGTTGAAAATCCGAGTTGATGTTATTGACTCTTTGTTTTGAGCTTGTGGTACCCAGGTGCTGACAAACAGGTGCCTGATTGTCAGCACCTGTGAACAAGGACACTGCTACAGCGGTCAGTTGGTGTCTGCTCTAAGCACTCCACATTTGACTGATCTGGATGGGACCAGTGCCATAGGGCAGCTTCAAGTGAGGCCTAGCGCCATCTCCAAGTTAGGCCAAGTTCCATATAACAGGGAATTTTGGAGACAGGCCGTGAAGTTGGTGTCTCAAGAAAAGAACACCACAAGAAGACTGTTTCCTCACCCCGTCAGCACATAAGCACTCTTCTACAGATTTGTAGTCTTGTCTCTCAGGACCATTTGGTTGACAGCTCTCTACCCAGACTATCTGGAACAGACTGCACACTGCCAATCTCTGGTCTCATAGGGTTGCCAGAAGGCCTGCAATGACTGCCCTTCATTGCACTGGTTTAGGGAACATGTGCTGACATCAGTGGATGTTGCTAACACCTGAACATGTGGGTGAATTTTATGTTCAG